TTGACAATATTAAATATGTATAAAATTATTTCTAAAAGTTTGAGGGTAATTGAGCAAGTATAGGCTTGAGATTATTTGAAACCATATAAGAAGACATATTTTAAATGAGTCATATATAATGTACTTAGAACAACACTATATAAGGGGTCACTATTATCGTTACGATTATCATTTAACAGGGCTTCTACTGCACAGACTATATTTTTCTCAGAAAAGCTCAACACATGTCAAGCAGTCAGAAACAATTGCCATCTCATTCTACAATCCCAAAGAAGTTCAAATGGCTCACTGAGGTCAAACAGGAGGAAAAAAATAAAGATATCTAAATACCTAGATTTTTGTGTCCCAGCCTGTGCTGCCTAAAACAAAAATACATTGAAAGAACAAATACATTGATGAAAACACATTTGTTGAAAAACATATTTTCTGCCAAGCGTTTTAAGGGTTTATGAATTTTCAACAGTTTCCTAGAAGGCGTAATAGCGGCCTTATGCTGGTCACACTTGAGCTGTAAGGTGTCACTCAAGTTTGGCTGTACCCCAGCCAAGCAGTGTCCCAGCGGTTCATCAAGTTTCTGCAGCATCTGGTAGGAGTTACCGTCTTGGATGATATTTTTTAGAAGTTCTATAGTCCTCCCTTTACTCCCCCAGCCCCCACAAAAAAGGCAAAAACAGAACTCTGGAAAAAAAAATACTGAGAAAAAAGTCACTGCCAGAAATGTTTCCTTCTTCAGTGGTTTTCAGATGCACTCTTTACAATCCTCAGCAAAGGTGGAATATAGGGGGTATTCAGACTCCCAAATGTGTGGAGGTGATAGGAGAAAATTGAGAAAAAAATATTGCTACTTCAAGATGTACTTTCTAGCTTTTGACTGTGAATTACTTATAAGTACTCGTAAGTTTTCCTGTATAAGTAGATTTCATGCTTAACGTTGTTTCTAACAATTCACCCATCCGTTTCCTATATTTTATCAGCTAATGTATAAAACTTCATAATATTCATAAAATAAACTTACCCTGCAGGGCATTCTGGGGCCTTTATTTCCTCACAGTCATCATCTACCCAATGCGACTCTCCTATAGGGAAAAACAGGTAAGTTTATTGTTGAATCTAATTGTAAATGTCATCCAGCACCTTGAAGCACACAATTCCATGACCTGTGTCCAGTTTGATACTTGTTTATGAGACATCATCTAAAACGAAATTCTGAATTAAAGTCTAGTGTCTAGTTTGGCTTATAAAGTACACTCATACATGGTGGGAAAGCTAAGATTTAATAACCACAAGTGGTGTGGTGTTTATTTGAGCCTTCCGAGTCTAAATGGTTTGTAGATTAAAAAAACCAGTGGCGTCAGTGAACAAAATTTCATGTTTGTATCCCTCCAGAAATAAACTGTTTGGTCATTAGACGGAACATTCTTTTTCCACCACTGAAGATCTCAAAGCCATAGAAAGCAAGGCACAACTTCCCTCTAGATGCTGGGAAAGGCTGGGGATATAGAGAGATGATAGATGGAAGATTCCCAAAGAGAGATTATTTGCCAATGGATCTTTGAACAGCCCTTGAATTTAGAAATAAAAACCAATGCTATCTTTCACTTTTATCTTCCACTAAGATTTCATAACATAAACCTAAGTCTTTCCTGAGTTACCACTATCAAGAAGAGAGACCAGAAAAGGGCTCAGATAGAAAATAAGGCGTCCCTTGAAGAAAATGAAAATTATTGAAAAGAATTTGCTTTATATTGTTCTAAGACAAACAAATAGCACATGTCTTGAACAGAAGTAAAATTTGTGACCAACACTATGGAGAAACTGTTCCCACATGAAAAGCATTGGAAATCCCTTCTGGTTAACGAGAATCTGACTACGTGAGAACTGCAGAAGTAAAACTATGCTCCTTAAAACAGGGAAGATTTGCCACACACGTAGTAACCCAGGGCATACACATGGGCCCTCACAAAAGTACTGGAACTAGGATTTTAAACCAGTAAAAGCCAAGGTTTAATGATTCAATGACTGGTGATATTAAGACTTTTCTTCCTTTTCTTTATCTTTTCTTTCAATAGCCTTTGTGGCGTATCGGTACACTTAGTACACAGGAAAATTAAAAAGGAAAGGGAAATAAATTCTCAATCAATTTTATGCTTTAAAATAAAAGCATAATTGTTTGGGTAGAGGAAATTTACCATACAATAATTGTTCGGGTAGGGAAAATTTTCCAAATTCGTTAATATAATACCCTCTTGCCACAACCGAACACCTCACATATTTCAGAACCGACTGACTTTTTCTCTGCAATCTTTTGACAGAAACTCTTCTTAAATGTTCCATGTCAGAGATAGGGAAGAACACTGAATTTAGAAACTACAAAGTGACTTGGAAACTATAAATAAAGATTCTTGGGTCTTCCCATTAACTTCTATAAGTAGGTGGCATGGCAACTTAAACTCCTTACAGATAGGAACTGCATCTTTTATATTTTCTGTAGTCCATTGGTAGTGTTAATTATTAGAATAAAAGCATCATGTTCCATAATCAACCATACAAAGTCAACACATGTATGTATGTTTTCAGGGCCGTTGGTGCCCTGATCCCTTTTACTGGCAAGTACCCCCATCCCCAGGCTGCTGCCGGTGCCTTGGTGAACAGCTTATACCCACTAGATGCAAAAGCCATGGCCCCCTTGCCTCAAGAGTAGTAACTACGAGATTTACTTTTCAGATCAAGCAACAGAGAAGGCCAAGGTGAGACTTTACCTGAGACCACATCCTTGCTTGTGTCCCCGGACCCCTCCTTCCCAATCTTGCTTCCCCTGCTCCCTGTCGTGGTTTCCCTGAAGAGCATTCCCTCAATAAACTACTTGTCCCAAATTCCTGTCTCAGGCTCTGCTTCTATATCTTCATTATGTTTCTATCTAATTATGGAATTTTGGTTTATTTCCTTGTTATTTCAGATCAGTGAAATGTAGGGTAGAAAAACTAAGAAAGAAGCATAAGAAATTAAAAAGCCCAACTCATTCCCTCCTCCCAAACCCATATCCAAGGTGTCATATCCCTAATATCCCAGATCTCTTGGGGCATCTCCAGTTCTTAGTCTTTTAAAGCTCAAGGCAATCGAAAGAAAATGCGTACCTTTGCAAATCACTTGGTAATTAGTACAGCAATCTCCCCTGGCCAAGCAGTCCTCTGAGCAGTGACAGGCATTTTCTTCATTTCTTACTTCTCCACATCTGTCCTTCGTACACTCCCAGCCACGAGCTAAAATCATCACAATAAAACATTTTCACTGCTGCACACAAACCAAATCAAAGAGGCCACAATTGCTTACAGGGTTTCCAACAAAAAGAGCCAACGTCTCACATCATTTACTCTGCTGGTGAAATTTTAATTGGCCTGAGGCCCAGATGATATTTGAAGAACTTATAGACAGGCTGAATTTCTAATTTTTCAAATCAGTGAACGAAGTCAAAATGCAATTGGGTTCCTTTGGGAAAATGGAACCCTAAAAGGCGAGCAAGAATCCCTACCATTCTCCAATTGTCCTAAAGGGCTTAACAAAATGTACACTATCTAAGGTTTGTGATAGGGGTATCTACTATTGTAGGGATAGCCTTGATGGCTTGGCTCTTTTATTTTCCGAAGTAGCTTTGCTTAACTTTAATCAGCTAGTTTTAAATACAAATGAGAGTGCAACTACATGATCACTATTTGCTATGAGATGCACCTGCAGGTTAAAGTCCTAAACAGATATGAAGAGTATAAAGGGGCATTAAACCATTCTAACCATTGACCAAAATGTGGTTCTACCCACAACAACAGGTCAGAGTCCCCACTTCCAAGGAAGTCAGCAAATAGGTTACAGATTTCCCTCTAAGCGTACTTGATTGAGATCTCATGGCTCAACTCTTCCAAAAAGATAACTTCAGAAAAGCAATCTTTTCATTTTAAAGAGATTGTTGTATTTTTTGCTTGATGTTTTTATTTGCTAATGTGTAAAATCCATGGCAGGAAAAACCACATCTCTCTTTTCACCATTATATAATATTTCCAGTGACGGACTATAAGACTGTGAGATCGTAGCTGGCACATGCTAAGTGTTCAATGTATATTTATTAAATCTAATTGGAAATAACCATGGAAATAAAATATGACTCGTTAACTTTGGGACTGGTATATTAAGAACATTCATAGTTAATTCATTTATTCAATAAATCTTTGTATCATGTTTTCTATGTTCTAGGTGCTGGAGAACAAGAGAGACAAGGTCGCTGTCTGCATGGAGCTAACATTCCAATTGGAAAAAACAAACCATAAGCAATAAGCAAGATTATTTCAGCTTTTTCTAAGTGTTGTGAAGGACATAACTGATGATATTAACAGAGACTGACAGGGTGGGATGGAGGGGTGCTCCAGATGTAGAATGGTCAAGAAAGGTGTCACTGAGCTGAAGGACATATGGACAGTTCAGGTCTTCATCTCTTAAAATATGTCTTAAGTGGAAAGTAATGATTCTGAAAGCAATGCTACTTCATAGTAACATTCTACTAAGAGAAACTAGTGTTAGGTAAATAAATGGATGAAGAGATATTAGTTGCCATGCATAAGTGTCACCTCTGCCCCTTTGGGCAGGCCATTTGCTGGAAAACCATGCAACAGATATTTAATAGTTCTCCTTTTAGAACTATCTTTGCATCTTGACACCATTCTCTGATTCTTTAATATTTATTGTTTCCACTCCCATCTCTTCCCAAGCAAAATAAGTGTTTAGAATTCCTTAACCCATAATCTGCTATTCCCAGTGGTTAGCAATTTTCTAAGGTTGCTTTGACTGATAGAGACTATGGGTTTTTTTCCAATTCAAGGATGATCCTACTCACCAGTATGCTTTCATTCCTCCCCTAATTGCATAAGAACATCCCTTTACTTACAGAATAACATCACTATTAAAAAGCTACATTTATTGAGGAAGTACTGACTTTGTGTAAGAATGGAATAAAAAAAAAAATTCAGGGTTCAAAGTGAACGAGAAGCAAACCAAAAGTCAGTCAGATGTGTAATTTTCAAAGCAAACACGGGAATAAACATAAAAAATATTTAACCTTATTGGAAAATGAGAAGCTACCTATCACGAGAAAAAAATATTTTTAAAAATTAGAGTATTCAATGCTGAAAAGGAAGTGGGGAAGGCTCTTGTA